CTCATTGATTTATGCGTCCGCTACAGAAATTCCTGTACCCAGGAACGTGCAGCGGAGCATCAGGCATACCAGCTACGTGCCACGTTTCAGTTAGCAGCACCACGTGCGGACTGGACAGAAGTATGAGAGGGGCAAGATGGTGCATTTTATTTTTGGCAGTTCGAGCACTAAATAGTAGGATTGTATACGAATCGGTCGGGTTAGTCTGGATGTGTGGTTCGGCCAACGGAATATCTGACGAACCGCGTTTTGGTGCGAGGCTTGATTGCAAACTTGCGTTGAGGTGCGTGAACGATGGACCTGCGGAAGAAAAGATAAAAGGCTGGCTGTGGTCAAGGAAAGCAGGTTGTAGGGGAGGGTAAGAGGTATTCGTGTGTGTATAAGTTTGAGTTGTGAGGTGAGGCACGTGGTCAGGTGTAGTGAATTGGGTCAAAGACGTCGTCCAAGTGACTGGAACTTACTGAACGGCGTCAGTTGCATCATTTCCAGCGGGCGGGTTAGGTGATATAGCGCCGTATCTTGTTTATCCATGCTTGGATAGGGGGTCCGCAACTTGCTGCGTTCCACAAAAAAGGGATACGAGAGAGGTTTGGGCGACTCGCGGAGTGCTCGAATGTGATGGTCGGGGTACAGATTCGCTGTGGCTGCGCAGATTCAAGGCCAAGCTTGTGTTTTGTTTCAAATATTACCAAGCCCAGTGCTTAAAATATGCGGCATTGTTCTGCAGGTAGTTCATGCTCGATGTGCTGCACGGAGCAGACGGCTTTCCATAATCCTGCCCAGGGATCAATCCAGCATTCCTTCCAACTTTTATCTACATAAATACGCTTTTTTAGGTGATTGGCTGCCCTTGGACATCTGGACAAAAAGGCCCACAGCAGTGTTTCTTAAGTATCTACTTAACTTGCCAGACATTACTAGCTGAACGCTTGCAGGGAATTTCATATATGGAATCCCTATACGGATCTGTATCCCTGAAGACAAGGTGGACCAAGTCGCTATTAAAGAGCAACCCCACAAGGCCGCCACAAATTTTGTTGTCGTCACTTCATGGCCGCTTCGCCCAAAGCAAGTGACTAGCTATAGCACTAGCCTTTACTTCAACTAGTCTTCAGTTGTTCATTCTTTCTAGTTCCGTAGAAAAACAAACCGAGCGCCGCTGCTCTCTATCTTTGATCTTCTACTCCTGCTTCGCTGGCTGTACACCTTCAGCGTCCACACTACTTCATAAATTCATTTCCTTGGACCAAGGCCTGCTCATGAAATCAGGTCTTCGTACGGCCAAAACACCTCAAGTGACTCCAGGTCATCCGTCGTACAATCCGGCTAAAGCTGCGTAGATCAACAGTTCCATCTCCATCGCCGTACACGAATCGAGGCCACTGATCAGGAAGGGATCGGCTTCCAGAAGAGGCCGTTTTGTAGTCAGCTTTCTGCACTGTCGGAACTCCGGTTCCATGAAAGCAGTAAACATTATCCACGCCAGCAGGCTCATTGAGGTAATCGAAAGCATTTTTGGCAATCAGGACTATGTCATAACCTGAAAAATCCAAATACAAGCATATGGTTACTTTTCACTATATAAGGAAGCACCGTGTTGCTTCCCTTCAAATCGGACGTTAAATTTATCCTCACTGTGAGCGGACTGCGATAGATGTAGCTGTACAACCCACAGATCAGTAGACACCGCGGACTCTAACCAAGCAGACCAAGAGGTATGTGGGTGAAATTCGCAACTATAGACCTCAGGCACATCTTCAACCCACACTCTTCGACGAGGTACACGCTGAGGCGGAATCTCTTCAATCAATCAGGATTATTATTTCAACACATTCTGTACTTCTCTTTTCTTTTGCTTGCACTGACTACATCGATATCCTGAAGTGACGAAGTGAAGCTCTAGAATGAGTTATTACACCCACATGAGGCGAATTGCCCCAAACTTGGCGAGGAAAAATTTGTGCCTAAATCCAAAGAGTCGAAAATTAAAGCTGGCTGAGTGGCTTTTAAATAGTGCTGATGAAAGCTTTCGTGGAACCACCAGGCATGCAAGCAAACTCCAAGAAGAAAATTTCAATGGTAGCCGTGTTAATGCACTTCGAAATTTTTCAGTAGCCGCTTTAGGCCTGCTTTCAAATACTCTGTATTTCTAATGAGTTATCAATCGAAATCCACATAAACATATTGGGACAGATTTGGGCAATTTGTAAACAAAATATAGCCGAGGATTTTTCGGTCATTTTTCAGTACACGTTGTGTGCATGGATTGCGACACGCAAACTCAATGCTGACCGCGATTCACATTGAATTGGGCATAAGTCATTCGATCACGTTAACCATAGCTGAAGCACATGGAATATGGGTGTTGCCTGTTCGTAAATAGTACATACCATTACGCTTTTCCAGCCTGTTTGTTCTCATCCAATGATTCCGGGTTCAATATTTGCTATCTCCATCTGAGGAGAGAAAACAGCAGCTTCGTTCACTTGAATTTCGTTGTTAGTCACCCGTTTCCTGCTGCTCTCAACTTCTCCGCTAAATGTGATCCGCTTTGGATAATTTGCAAACAAACATCTGCAATTTGATATATTGCATCTACAAATGATCAGACCACCTAGTTGGGCTGTATCATGCACAGAGGAGCTATATGCAACGCGTAACCTACAAGTAAGCACCCTGACTATAAATAAACTAATAAATGGTATATTTCTTTACTTAGCGGGAAGCTGATCTCAAGGACGATCTATCCAAAACGTTAAAATGCTTCATGCGCTCGCATACTACGAAATAAATGTCACAGAACCTCCGTACGTTGACCACGGAAACAACTGGACCGATGGGGTCAACATGGAGACGTCTCCATCTAATACTTTTAAATAAGAAATATTCAAGTAATGGAAAGTAAAGCAGCCAAATTCGTGTGAGTGGACAGGCGATAGATGTAGTCAACTTCGGATGTTTTACTACATGATCAAGTACGGGGAGTTAAGAGGTAGGGGTTGGTGTATCAAATGCATGACTGTGCCTACGTATATCTGAATTTTCCCAAGTAGTGTTGCACGCATTGGCTAGGTAGATTGTTGACATATCTATCCCAAATTCTGATAACTACTACACTATTGCTTATGCAATGACCGGAGAATAATCGTGTTCTTTAGGTCATGCAACTGCCTGGAATATCTCAAACCTCTAATCAGCTGCTTTCTGTAAATAGGAGGAGTTTGGCATAGGTGTTCTCAGCCACACAGCCCTAGTACATACTGAGATTGACTGCATGAATGTTTCGGCCATATGGGGCCGGGTGATAGTACGGACCCACTCATCCTCTGATATCATCGCTTGCGTATCTAAGGTACGAATGCTTTTAGCTGCTGAGTGCGTCACAGTGGATTCAGGTTTCTAGGCCTCAGAGTCGTATCAAGGAGGACGGTAAGCCCCGTGCGGTAAGTGACAGCGGCAGCATTTTGGTACCGTTTATTGTGAGAACCCAAATATAAAGGACACATGTTCCAGATAAACTGAGGCTTGCATATTTGAATAGTACCCTGCATGAACTACAATACCTCCACACCGTTCGTCACATCTTTGCAAAACGTCTTCACAATGGTCACTTATTTATCGCGTTGTGGTTAATTTCACCACCATTACTTCAGTGACCCAAACGACCAATATGGCGTTTATGCTCAACCGTTTCGGTGACATTCACGCGGCTATTCTGCCTGCAGTCAGGGCAAGCATTTTACCAAATTCCCGAGTGGAAAATTAATTGCCATTACACTGCTAGGGCCGCTTTGGTTGGAGAAGCTTATATTTGATAAAACAGAAGGTTTTGCCATCTTTGTCCTGTGGACACATGCACCGGTGAATTGCCTCAGCATGGCTTTTCCATAGTTGGCTGTCCTAAAGTCGATATAAGAGTTAAAGCCACAGGCAGATTTGATGGCCATTGCTGAGGTGTTAAATGACATGCTGAGCTACATGCGATAAGTATGTTCGATCAATGAGAACTGGTGTCATGAGATATACAACCATGACTTCCTTTCCCCACGAGGGCTAGTGAAGCAGTAGACTAGCGAATCCTATTGATTTTGTACGCGAGCTACAGCAAGTCCCATCTTTGACTGTCAGTGTGTTGAAATCAGGAAATAACAGAAATCTGAGGAAAGAAATGAGGATAAAACGTAGTTTACTGCTAATAATCCTTTCAATTCACATCGATATTACAAAGTTAATGCTACCAGTCCAATGAAAACAGTTGTACATGGACGACGCACATTTCATTTCGAAAGTTAGTGAATAGTTCTAAGCGAATTAGTCTCATCCGATGTTCCGACAGTTCTTGCAAAGCTAAAACGTTAGACCTATTCAACTCACCAATCGAGTAGCCGATATCCTCAAAGAATCTCTTTATATCGTGGACAGAATAGTTGGCATTTGGAGTAACTTGGAACACTGGTAGCTCGGCTTGGTTGCTCACCTGTTGATTGTTTTTCCGAGCTTGATTAAGAAATCGCATACGTTTCACCACCATGCGAGGTGGCATCTTCAGTGCAGTAATAGGCAGTGTGTATTGCTGCTTAGTGGATTGTCAGTCCGTCATGCACGGGCAGGTGACTTTTGAAGGTGGCGATTTCGATTTGTGCCACGTGATCTCTGCCCATTTGCTTCCACGGCTGAACCAGGTCTTGCGATTCGCCGGAGATCTTTCTTTCGGAGTTGATGGTACACGGGGTCAATGTCGATGCGCATGTTGATCGAATTATTAGAGGAGTACCATGCTTCTAGGAACTCTCTTCCTTTCTGTGTTGTCGTTTGAGCTTAAATCACTGTTTGGTCCCAATTGAAGCTATGTCCCTCCTCATCTACATGCGCTGAGACAAGAGACGATGCATACTGTTTTTTACAAGCCCTCTGATTTTCTTGTATTCTTGTGGATAATTTCCTTCCTGTCTGCCCCACATAGTTCATTTCACAATTATTGCAATTTATTTTATACACGACGTTTGTTCGTTCTTGTGCATTCCTCATATCCTTTGGGTTTGATAGTATTCTTCGCAAAGTAGCGGTTGGCTTTTGCGCGACCACGGTGTTGTATTGTTTGAGCAATCTGGCAGTCATTTCAAATATGTTCTTCATATACGGCAAAACGACCCTCCTGCTTGCATTTGGTATCGGCTCGGTGTTCATAACTTTATGGTTTAGACATCTGTGGATGAAGCTGCGTGGGTAGCCATTGCGCTCGAACGAATCGAATAGGTGTTTCTCTTCTTCCCGTTTGGCTTCCACTGTCCTGCAGTGTGTTTCAATCCTGCGAAATAGTGTCCGCACGCAACTTATTTTGTGGCACTTTGGGTGATTGCTATAGAAGTTCAAAATTTGATCCGTATGTGTTCCTTTTCTGTGAACGGATGTTTGAAATTCACCATCGTTTGTTCTGGTCACCAAAACATCCAAGAATGGGAGCATGTTTTCTGCCTCTAACTCCATTGTAAACTGAATCCCATCCATTGCATTGTTGAGCAGTTGGTGTGCGATTGCTCGCCGTTGGGAGGATTTCGCTTGCCTGCAAGCCTCTACAAGGCAGCAGCTATCCTTCCTCCATGAATGTTTACGAAGAGACATTCTTCCTCGCAGTGTCAACTACAGACCGCCGCTAAACCATCCCAGGGCTTGGGATGTTGCACGTCAGTTCGGAAAACGCATGGTACGAATAATGATCACGGACGCTCATAATCTTATCAAGAAATATGAAAGATGTCTGGATGTAGAGCGAGCCAATTGTTTGCAAATCGTGTTACAACAACTGACAGATCAATTACAGTTGGCAATCGAACGCAGAGCAAACAACGCCGGAATGAAGAAGCAGGCCGCGCTTCATGGAAAGATGTCAAAATTGACCACCTACCAATACGGAGTTGACAACAATCGCTGGATCAGGAACCTTTCTAAACGACCGCTCAGTGAGACAGAGCAGCAGATACTCACCAAAGGGTTAAACTACAATACCAACTACGCGGCAACCACGGAGTTTTTAGCGGAATTCGAAAACGCTCTACGGTCAAATGGACTTAGAGAAGAGATACAGGAACAAATCCGACACACAATCGTCCCTGCCATGACACATGTCAAGCAATACAATGTCCTATCTCGACAAGAGCACGAAGCAATGAAAGCCCTGAGATCCGACGAGTCAATTGTTATCCTTCCTGCAGACAAAGGACGTATGACAGTCATAATGGATAAAGTTGACTATATTGAGAAGGCAAAACGGACTTCTGAACGATACAAGCACATACAGTGGCATTAATTACGATCCGACATCGCAGCTAACAAACCAGATAAACAAAACATTGCATGAACTACAACGTTGAAAGAAATTACAGAAATTGAAAGGAATAAACTGAGAACCCGTGACTCGAACATCGCCCAATTCTACGGGCTCCCAAAAGTACACAAAGAAGGTGTTCCGTTGCGACCAATTGTTTCACTTCCAGGTACACCCACCTACAACCTGTCGAAGGAATTGTGGAGGCGCCTCAAACATCTACTCAACGGTTCGCAGCACTCCGTAAACAACTCCGAGCAATTTCTAGAGAAGCTCAAGAACCTGCATATAGATCATGACGAAACGATGGTCTCTTTCGACGTCACCGCTTTATTTACATCTGTCAATTTGCAACTGGCAAAAGAAGCCATCATAGAACGCCTGAACAACAGAGATGAGAAAATTGGGAGTATGACGACTGCAAGCATTTGCAAGCTTCTCCAACTATGCCTCACAACTTACTTCTCGTTCAACGGAGAGATCTACGAGCAGGTGAAGGGGGCACCGATGGGATCACCAATATCAGGTCTGATCGCTGAGATCGTCATACAAAAGTTGGAAGAAGATCTACTACCAGCTATTAACCCGAAGTTGTGGGTACGCTATGTTGACGATACATTTGTAATACTGAAACGCAGTGAAGTAGCAATCGCACACCAACTGCTCAACAATGCAATGGATGGGATTCAGTTTACAATGGAGTTAGAGGCAGAAAACATGCTCCCATTCTTGGATGTGTTGGTGACCAGAACAAACTGTTGGTGAATTTCAAACATCCGTTCACAGGAAAGGGACAAATACGGATCAAATTTTGAACTTCTATAGCAACCACCCAATGTGCCACAAAATACGTTGCGTGCGGACACTATTTCGCAGGACTGAAACACACTGCACTACATCGAAAGCCAAACGGGAAGAAGTGATACACCTATTCGATTCGTTCAAGCGCAATGGACACCCACGCAGCTTCATCCGCAGATGTATAAACCATAGATTTATGAACACCGAGCCTATACCAAACGCAAGAAAGAGGGTCGTTTTGCCGGATATGAAGAACATATATGAATGACTGCCAGATTGCTCAAACAATACAGCGTGGTTGTCGCTCACAATCCAACCGCTAGTTTGAGAAGAATACTGTCCAACCCAAAGGACATTAGGAATGCACAAGAACGAACAAGCATCGTGTATAAAATAAAGTGCGATAACTGTTAAATAAAATAGGTGGGGTAGACAGGAAGAAAGTTGTCCACAAGAATACAAGAACATCAGAGGACTTGTAAAAAACATTATGCATCGTCTCTTGTCTCAGCGAAGGTGGATGAGGAGGAACATAGCTTCAGTTGGAACAAACCGGTGATTTTAGCTCTAACAACAACACAGAAAGGAAGTGAGTTCCTAGAAGCATATTACTCCTCTAGTAATTCGATCAACATGCACATCGACATCGACCCCGTGTACCATCAACTCAGAAAGAAAGATCCCCGGCGGATCGCAAAACGTGGTTCAGCCGTGGAAGCAAATGGGCAGAGATCATATGGCTCAAATCGAAACTGCCACCTTCAAAAGTAACCTGCTTGTGGATGACTGACTGACAATTCAATAAGCAGCATTATACACTGCCTATTACCGCACCGAAAATAACAACTCGCATAATGGTGAAACGTATGCGATCTCTTTATCAAGCTCGGAAAACCGATCAACAGGTGAGCCTCTTCGTTTTAATTATACACTGGCTCACTAGCACACTCTCCTATCACCCAGGACAAGGTACAAATTATAGAACAGTTTTAACATGCAGCCACCGGGCTCCTGCTCACTTTACAAGGTGCGCCGTAGGAAGCTCCGTGGAAGACAATGGGACTTTACACCTTGTCTTAGCATCGCTTGCTACTTGGCTTATTTATAACACACAGGTTATTACAAATTGGTGATTACCCCACGTTAAAGCCCCTGCATCATATGCCCACATCAAGAACCACAAGAATACACCGGTACACGATTGTGGTAATGGATTTGCAGTGGGCCTCTTAGCAACTATGTTTTCAATTGAAAGGGATGAATATATGGAACAACTTCCCGACGTACTTGGTCAAAGTAAAAGTGTCTGTGTCCGAAAAATTTCTGAACAAAACTACGATGACAGGAAATATCGCGAAGACCTTCGGACATAACAGATGGCATATTACACAAAGTTATCACTGCTTGCCGCTTCAATTTTGTGAATCGGGGTGATTCTAATGTTTGCAACCTGGATATCAGTTGTTAAGTACATACACAAAAAATTGCAATATGTATATTTTAATCTTGTTCTAAGGTGAGGAATAAAATCGTCCATCGATCTTACCGTTGTTACCGGTCACAGACTGCTTATAAATAATTATAAATCGGAAACGGAATGATTGTCGGCATTTTTCTAAGTTGTAGGATTTGTAGTACTGCTGATATAGAAATTTGGGTCAATGAAAATATCAACGCCCGCAGTGAACTTTGACGAAAGTTTACAGCGAATGACAGCGACAGTACAGAAGCAACTCTCAACAACATCCAGGCAAGAAAATATACACCATTTTTTGTTTGGAATGAACCTAGAAGTAAAGAGAAGTCAAACAAATAAGTCTTCCACTGTGGTGCACCCAATCACCGAGCCAAGTAGGAAAGTTCTGGTCATTTGCAATTTAAGGTGCCTTTATCAATTGTCCTATCAATCAACTAACAATATATGTAACTATGCCGCGAGGGTTCATTACACGGGTGCGAAAAGCACGAAGGTGTGTATCGTTACAAGCATTCTATTTCAAGTTTTGACAATATGTCAGTGTATGGTAGCCTACAATGTCGAATGCTGTCAGACCTAAGGAGAAATAATGGCTAAGCTGCACATGAGTAATCACCAGTGATTGTGTTCTGAGGGAAACTCCGTTTGTGTCAGTGTGCCGGTGTGCGGATCTACCGCAGTGTGCTGAGGAGCGCTCAAATGGTTCACTGCGGATTGACATGAGGAGAGTTCATTAGGTCCACTGCAGCTTGCGCAGTGGATGCATCAGTGTCCTGACTACGGCTTGATTTGTCCAAAGTCC